TGACGAATCGCGTTTCACTTGACACACTTTGTCGCAAGAACTATCGAATATCGTCGAATTAAAACTACCTTTCATCGAGAGCGCCTAATTACCTATCTCCACGGTCTAAATTAGTCGAAATAATCGTTCTGCTTTCGAGCGATTCGTGAATCATTAATTTCTCGGATGAAGAAAATCTAGCCGATTTCGAATACCTTTGGTAACTCTGGATCGTTGTTTTTCAACTATTTTTTGAGGAGCAATCTCGATTCGTTCTCTCGCCAAGTTTGCGTAAACAAAGTAACGATGAATTTAGGAAGAGGTCGCGGAATCGTGTCGACCCGTCCGCGTGATTCGAATCAAAACGCGAATTTTACTTTCGTCCTTCGCATGGGCCATCTCGTTACGGTAAAAAACTTTCTTTTCCGCTGGTAGGCAGACGCGATCCTAGTCGAAACAGGACAGAAATCGCGTCGCGAGTAGAGCATTCCGGTGCGAAACAGCCCGTGTGAACCTCGAACGAGACGTTTCCACGAACGAGAAGCGCTCTCTAAACGCGAATCCTCGAAGAGCATCGCGTAAAATTAATTTTCCTTCTATTTTCTATGATAATATTTCCGATATTCCTTATGCACTTCGTAATTTTAAATCGTCTCTTCTGACAAATAAAACAAATATTCCATATTATTACACGTTAGAAATTTAACTACATAAATATTATAAAATAAAATAATTTCTTCTATTACAAACAACATAAAAAACTTGCTTCGTTTGCGAGAAAATATCACCTTTATTAACGTGAATTATGTAGAATACGATCAGGATACAATAACGAACGACGACGTATTATGAATTGAAATCATATATGCAAATGCGAATCGAAACTGTGCCCGATTCGACCAATCGATCTTGATCGATTAATCGAGGAAAGTGCTCGAAGGCGTAGTTCGTTTGACCGGATTTCGCGTTGCTCTTGTTACGCGGGTTTCGAAGTGTGCACGCGCGCCGCTACCGTAAATCCGGCATGCAATGACGATATTCCGACAGACACGGCATCGCAATGTCAGCCCAGATACGATTAAAACAAATTTGACACAGATACCGATCGCCGGGAAGGTCGATCACGCGACTTGGATTAAAACAATACGCGATCCACCGGAGCCTCCAGCAATTAATAATAAATCGTCGGTTTCGGTCGAATAATTCGAACCAGTTGAGAACAATTGCTCTTTGATCGATTCGGGATCAAACACCGCAAAGAATTTATCAATTGAACGGTAGCCAAGGAACTGTGGCGGCTGACCTCAGTATTAAAATATGCGCTAGTCGCGTGGAATGTAAACTTTGTAATATTCTTGGGTCGACCGTGTTTGAGGAATCGATCTACAGTGTACATCGAAGTTAAAAATTTGTGAGACGTTAATTTTTTTATTTGATCGTTTCGAATTGCCACAAAACTGAGTAAATATACTTTTTGCATTACCCGGGGGTATAGCTGCTCCATGCTAAACGAATCTCTAAACCAGTTGACCTCGGGAGTCAATTTGTTCTCTATTGCGTCGATCGTGGGCAGCAGATGTACAATCGTACGACTAATTATTTTATAACAGAGCATGCTCTTCGATATAGGCAATGAATAGCTACTTGTCAGGCTCAAATAGGTCTGTACATATTTCTCGTACGATGTTTCAACGTACATGTTGTTTCCATATATAATACTGGAACGACAAACCTCGACATAATAGAAGAGATAATAATAAAAAGGTCAAGGTGGTTTTTAAATCTAATGGAGCTCGCTCCAGACTAAACTGGTTTCCATAATACTTTCAAAGTCTGTTTCAGCGTGTCCCAAATTACACGGCCGGAAAGTCAAATATTTCGCGCGCGTTACGCGAATGGAAAAAATTGTATCCTCGCGAAAACAAACTACACGTAACGATCGTTGTTACGGCAGAGTTAGAGAGCGGTTGCCCAACGAACGAAAGATTTCTTCTTTTCGTTACGAGAAAAAATATTTCTAACAAAATGTTTCACATGCTCGTAAGAGACGTTACACTTTCCTCGCGGATCGCTTTCGCACGGAACGCGATACGCGTTGCATAATTAAGTCCTGGACGCGCGCATAAATCTAATATCGCGTGGCTCGCATCGATTTCTTCGAAGATGGAGTGATTTTTTTTATGAATCCTCACGGAAAATCGTACGGGAAGCGGTCTCGCGGGTTCCCAGAAGCGGAACGGTCGTTGAAATTCACGCAACGCGCGCGTCGCTCGGCGCATCCGGTCTCGATTAAGCGTCGTTCGCATTACGATGCGAGTACCAGAAGGGCTGAAACGCCTGCTCGCACCGACGACCGACGATTAATCAATCGTGGCTAGCGATTAATCATCGGGGATGCGTCGGTAATATTTCGTAACGCGGCCCGAACAATGGCTCGCTTTTACTCTCGATGCCAAAGAGCACTTTGTTCGATTCCACGGAATCGCGGTCTATCCATTGTAATATATATTCGACAAAACGCCAATCCCATGCACGATTGGAAATATGGAAATAAATTGCGACGAACGGGGTAAAGATAACGAGAAAACGGGTTTCCGCAACGCGTGAACGTTCCACCTTTGTCGGTATTCCAGGGTTATAATTGCGTGTCGATTATATGTGAAAATGGAAATGTTCGCGATAAATTACAATAAATTAATTGGGGGAATGGGATCAGCGCACAATTTCCATTCTATTACTTCGCGCATGCATTCATGCACGGGCATTGCGTTCCGTTCGCAGGATGATTTGTATTGCACTTAGGTCACTAGGAGAGTTTTGCAATATGTAACAATAGTTTGTGGAAACCTTGGCTGGTAAGGTTTGCATAATTAGAAAATGCGTATCAGGAGAAAAGTGCATATCGTCGATGGCTAAAGTTCAGTAGTTGTAGAAAGAGATTGCATCGTGAACTTCGTATTTTATATTTCATGGAATCGACAATGTTCTTTATAAGCTATCATCAATTCGAGAATAGCTGTATATTGAAAAAAAAAAAACTGAAACTTCGAACACTGTTTACATAATTCATTGTTTTGTCTTGTAGGCTCTTCTTCCAGAAAGCTCCTCGATTCGTGGTATCGTTCACTATAATTTTGGAGGAGTTCTGTCGACAGAATGCGTAGGCGAGATGGAGGAAATATTATAATAAGGTTGTTCGCATGGGGCTACAGTTTACTAGTGGTACAAAGAATTTGAGCGGAGAAATTTTAATACGAAGGACATGCCACATTCAGGACGCCCTGCTGGCGCTGTGACACTGAGAAACGTTGATAATGCGAAGGAGTTAATTACCATGGACCGAAACATAAATTATCTACGAATACACAATGATTCTCTTTTTCTTTTCATTGATTATATTCCATGAAATCGATAACTCTTTCTAATTGTAAGTTTGAATTTAGTACTTTGATGGACAGTTTTAAAATTGCCCCCTGCTAGTATAGTCGACGATAAATTATAATTGTAGAAACAAAGTTTCTAAAAATTGCCCCCATCGAAGTCGAAAACTTTATAAATCCTCCGAGGCTATTCCATAAAAAATGATAGCTGTACTTTGTACAAGAAGTAGTACGCTGGAACGAGTTGTTATGGAAAGTTAGCGTGCAGTAAATACGACTTGGTACACAGAAACATGTTTGCTTCGTGTCATCGTGAAGCTCAGACAACTTCTTTCACTGTCAAGACTCAGCGCGTGGTATCTTCACCGTGACAATGCATCGATACATAAATCACGTCAAACAAGGGATTTTTTGAAATATTCAGATTTAATACTTCTTACTCATCCTTTCTACAATGATTGTCCCTCCTTTTAATCTTGCATCGTGTGACTTCGATTCGTTTTCTACAGTCGTGAATCAGCTAAAAGGACGATAGTATTCTAGCGGTGATGAACTTTTAGAAAACAGACGGAATAGAATTTCATTGTATGCAAAAATGCATCAATTTTCATGGGAATAATTTCGTAAAAATATTCTACCGACGTACTCACAGGGAGGTGATTCTACGTGAAGATACAAATCGAAAATAATAAATAAAATTTCTTCACTCGAGGCTTCATTTTCGAGATAATTGAATTTGAAAATTTGTCAGACACGCGCGCGATTGAATACCAGTAGCTCTGGTACGTCTGTCCACTACTCGCTAATTCTACTTGCGCTGAAGTCCAATTCGTACTCCGTTGCACGCGTACGAGACCTATCCAGATTAATTTTTTTTAACAATTCGTCTCAAAAATTAATTGAACGAAGGAAGTAAAAGTTGCAGACAGGCAAGACTTTTAATTTCTCTGTTGATCGAGCGCAAGTTTCGTAGCATACCGGATTGGGGCCATGCTGAACTTTAAAGAGTGAACGCGGGTTACTCGACCAAAACACAGAGCCAGTTTGGAAGAAATTGGGTATTCCCAGGCCCGTTCACTTTTTCCCAAACATGTGTACGACATCGTGGAAAGTTCACGTGTTTACACGCGTTCGTTGCGTGGACGACAGGTGTTTTACGTGGCCGGGCATCAAAATCGAGCTTGAAACGAATATCACCGGCATCCCGATCCCCCAACAGCGACGATACGTTTCGGATAACGATCGAATCAGAGAGAAGCCGTCCGCCCGGACGTTGTCCATACAAATGAACCTCATCAAAATTCGTACGATCCTGATTCCCGCCGGGCGCGGACTGGATATTCAAGTATAGCCTTGTACTAACTGAGCGTCGAGTTACCAGATGTAACTATTTATTTTCGGACGATAAACCATGGTCTGCGTATTTTCAGCTGCTTTTTAGTCTATTTTCGTGCACGTATTCTCGATAGCTGACGATGAACGATAAATTTAAGCACACCGTCTATTCGTTAAAAATTATGGAAGCATCACATTTTTATCTGCTCTTAAAAAAGTTTGTTCATCACTGATCTAAACTGTCGACAGACTTTTTCTCTCTATGCTTAACGATTCCAATCAATAAATCGAATTTGTTCGTTTCAGGAGCCAATCGAAGGCCTCCTACCTGGCTTACCGGAGGGAACGTGGAGCGCCCGATAGCGAGGGCAGCTACAAGAGAACCATGTCACCGACGTCTCGCTTAGAGGATTGGCCACCACCCCGGGATCACGACGATCCGGTTCTGCTGCGCGTCACGCCTCATCATCCGTTGCAGCACCATCACCATCACCATCACAACAATCACCATCCTCAGCAGCCGGAGCTTTTGAAGTCGCACAGCGTGGACGCTCTTCATCACCGGCTGGAGGAACGGACGGCGCAACAGCAACAACACTCCGCCGAGGTGATCGGAAAGCTGTCGCACGATTTGAACAAGAAACTTCAAGCAAGCGAGGCGAGGTCGCGAAACACGGAGAATAATAATAACGATAATCTCGAGGATCGACATCAGCATCACCATCATCATCACCATCATCTGGAGAAGAGACAGCAGGAAAAGAGGCACGATTACGAGCAACGTAGGGAACGATTGTCGCCCCAGAGCGTCGAGGTCCTTAACGACAGGAACCGACAGCTGGAACGTGAACGCAGGAAGCTGGCGGCTAGCTGCGAACCCCTACCTCAGAACCTCAGAGAGGTAATATTTCTTTCAGGGTATATTTCTCTAGGAAACTGTAAACTTCCTTTCGTACTGCAAATACTCTTGAGATGCACTTTGTCATCCTGAGCCTTGCTTCTTTAGTTTTAATATCTATATTGTTCAGGTTTCCAATTTTATTTTGTTATGGGGATGTGTAAAAGATAGTCCTAGGTATCTTAGAGTACATCGATACGGAACTGAGCACAAAAAAACATTAAAATCTTCTCGATTCCAGAAGCAGTCCCGCAGCGTGGAGGTTCCCTCGTCGGTGGAAGAGGACTTCTTCCGCGAGAGAAGCGCCACGATCGAGATGACCTCGCAGAACATAGAGCTCCTAAACCGTCGTAACGAAAAGAGAGCGAACGCTACGTCCACGTCGACCAACACGGTCGCCACCTGCGTCACGACGTCTTCTACGTCGACAACGATGACGATCGCGACGGACAGTTGCTGGTCGCGTGGGCAGGAGTCGCAAAATTCCATCGAAAGCTCGCCTACTGCCGACAGACCGCCACCGCCAATGAGTTCGCCACCAAGATCACCCAACCACGTCGAGAGAGACAGTCCAAGAGGAGCCGTTCCCAGACGGTCCGGAAGTTGTTCCAGTTCCTCGTCCTCAAACAGATCGTCGGATCCGCGCGTGTCGCCTCGAAGCTTGTCCAGCAGCTTCTCCAAGATCGAAGGCTCCCCCACCAACAGGAAGGTTTCCAGTCCCACGCAAACGGACAACACCGGATCCTCGAACAGATCTAGCTCGCCTGCTCAAGTTCGTTCGAACCAAACGAACGAGATTGAGCTGAGAGTGGACAGATCGTCCTCGTCCGCGAAGTCTAGGTCGGGAGGCAGGTCCTCGACGTCCTCGATTTCCAGCGTCTCTAAGGCGTCCTCCTCCTCGTCACCCAGGAACTCCCCGATCGAGGGTGACAAATCCTCTGCGCCTACGTCGCCGTGCGTGTCGCCTCAACTGGGAATAGAGGGGCTGACACTGGTGCAACGCACCGAAGTAGTTCTTCGAGTGAACGCAGCCACCAGCGACGCTGCCTCGCAGACCGACATCCTGGAAACCCAGGAGTCCGAGGTGTCCACCAAGAGCCACGAACTTCCTCTGTGTCGGAAGAAACTGCCCGAGGAGATCGAATGCGAAGAACTAGGCCGGGACCTAGCCAGCCAGCTCAACCCGAACGACAAACTGGTGCCCCTGCTAGGTGAGTTTCTCCCTAAACGTCCTCTTCGATGTGTGAAAGTAGTATAGAGAGATAACTTGATGGATAGGAACCTACAAAATGAACAACGCTAAGGTAGGACACCTGGAAAGTCCTATTTTCTTAGCAGTCACACTACATAGTGGTAGGATCTCCATATCCGCGGGAGAAACACTTTTGTTCTATCGATGGTGAATATTTTGAGCTTACTCTATTATACGTTCTATTCTACTCTGCCTGGAAACATCGATAACATTCCTCGAGTTCTTGGAGGATGATTCTCGATCAATCTTAATCTTAGGCACAGTGTTCAATCCATTGAGACACGCGATCCGAACTTTTACCAACGAACGAAAGAAAGAAAAGAGGAGAACGGAAACAAATTGCAATTTACGATCCGGGGATGAAAGAATTCGTTTCGTTGCACGATGGAACAGTTAGGCGTTGTCGCTATGTATCTTGCACGCTTTGCGCCGACTTTAATTCCCGGCTTAGTCTAATCCTGGATTACTAGAGCCCGTGTCGATTACGTCTAATAAAAGCAACGCAAACACCGACTGTTAGCGGAATTCACCGTCGTCGTTTCTCGACGGCTTACCGTAATCCTACAGATTTAATGCTGCTAATGTCGTCATCGGATTCTCAGCCGGCTTCGATCTACCTGTACGTGGCTTTTATTGCTCCCGTTGTTACAACCCTCGATTTGCACACACGCGAACTACCCGTCGAGCGTAACGACGCCTGCGGGCACGTATGTAAGCACGGCGTCGTTTTTGCTCCGCACACTGACGCTATCGGTCATATACGGCGTGTTTGCGCGTACATTGAATATCTTCGTTTTTACTTTCCCACGCGTAAGAAAAAAAATATTGTAACTGCGGAAACACTTTTTCACCCCCCAGATAGGGATCATTGCACGTAAAAAGAACGCGTCAAATATCTCATACGTGTATTTCATAAAAATCGGCGCGTTGAACTCGAACGACGTTCCCTGTCACCCAAACGATCCACTGCGTACAAATATCTCTCATGCCCACAGTAGCGTGCATCGTAACAGATAAAAATAAAACCACTTGATAAGCTGTATTTGCCTAATGAAAGCATCCAATAGATTCGAAACAGAGAGTCGTTTCCACGCGTATGACCGATAGTGTACGTGCGTAGAAACGCTCGTGCGTCATCCGTAAGGATAGTACAGTGGCCAGGGCGACGACCCTTTATTTTAATAAGCACTAACCCATTGGACGACCGCGTTATTCAATTACACGTCGGTGCACTCTCGCGATATTGAACGCATGCGTTATGGCTTCCAAGACGGCACGGGGATTCCTGGAGCGTAGAAGCTCGTGGAAAGTAGGAGGGGAATTGACCAGCGTGTGTAACCATTTGTTCTTATCAGTTCCAGCGCCGGAGCACAAGAAGCCCACCGACTACGTTTCCGGTCTGTTCAGGGTAGAGGCGACCTTGCAACCGAGACCGAGACGCCGACTCTCCCTTGAGGAACCCACGACCCCGTGTTCTGAAAATGGAACCGACGACGAGAAAAAGTAAGATTCTACGCGATATGATTGTATTATAATTAAAATAATCGATGCTCTTTCGAAAATGTACTATTACGTGAACTGGCACGAACTCGAAATCTATTTTCATGGAAGTGAAATATACGAGGTGGATAAAAAAGAAAATACTTAGCCAAAACTGTGGCCGTCTACCGTGAAGGATGGTGATACGAGATCTACTCGCAAGACTGTACCATTACGTGTTTATGTACTTGAACGACCTTGAGTGCTCAGTCATTAAATTCACTTAAAAGCAGCAACTCTCCCGCATTCTCTCACGGAGAATAAAAGATATAGTATTATACCCGGTGAAATAAAAATGACGTTGACCTTGATACGTCTTTAACGTCTCCGCCTACTTCGCGTGAAATTCTAACGACCCCCTTCGCTTCGTACGTATAATACATTGATGTAAAGATTAAAATGGAGTAGCTTGTACGATGAATTGGACAGCTGTTCCATTAATATTCGACACCAACAGATAATTACAATAGGAAACTGGAACTCGAGTATCCTATTCGCAAGCATTCTAAAACAGTAGTTCTTAACCTTTCTAAGTTCATGCTAGAATTTAAGACAGTGATGGCAAATTAATGGCACGCGATGAGATTTTACTAGCACAATGGAAATTTACGTAGCATAGTAATACAGAGTTACCGGTCTAAAGGTTACGACATTGCAAAATTTCACACATGAATCTTAGAGAAAAGCATTTATACCTAAATAATACGAGATTCACAGATTCAGGAAGTCGGATTTGAAATGCTCCCCCTAACGTTGTTCTTGCCACGGTGTTCCAACGACTATTTTATAGGATCTGCATTTCGTTCGTGCATCTATCCTAGCTATTTTTTGTTATTATCGTTACATAAATGTTAACTGATCGTCCCGAACGATACGGGACGTGTCGATATTTCATACGGGTTGCTCCACGCGATGGTTTGACTGGCACTTTCACCGAACAGCTCGAAACACGGAATGCTTGGCTATCATTTGCGGTTTCCTCGTGTTTTTAATATTTACGTCAAGCGGTTTATTATTGCGCCCGTTTAAGCGAAATTACGAGAGTCCAATTAATAATACGGCAACGGGCATCTTTCGTTTGAAAATGGTGCCAAGGAGTTTTCGCTCTTTCACGGTGCATCGCGAAGAGAGAGACATTCTCGACACGTGGCTAAAGAGGTCGCGTGCGGACTGTTGCTTATGGAGATCCTTTATTGTCCAATGAGTGACGTCTGCGTGGGCGTAGATCCCGGGACTCCTAACCGGGCATCATTAATGAACCTCCATTACAGTCGGGATTTAATTGTCGTTTTTCAACGACACTGTGCGCTTCTTGTGAATCGATGACACGGCATGACAGCTGAATAAACTACGATACATTTTACAACTCGTAACGTTCCGTTTAACGGTAATATTTCCGTTTACCTGCGTTTTTCGAGGTCACGTGGAAAGATTTGCTATGTTACGTAAATACGGCAGTTTCTATGGCCGGGGGAAAGATTATTCCACTAGGATATTCGTTTTCTTGACAGCAGGTTGATCGTTTTTATTTAACTCTTTTTATCGTGGTCTGCAATAAACTAGCCAGGAACTATATTCTGCTTATTAAAGACTAAACTGATTAAATTCTATTCTTCTTTCATTGACTCAATAAGAAATTCACGAATTCTCCAGTGATGGTTTTAAGTAATTCATATATTGTATATTCGGAAGTAGTGAATTAAACTCCTGCCCATTTGTAGTTTCTAAAACATACGAATGAGTGGTGTTCGTGAATCAGGTAGATAGGCTCGGTGGATTATGGGTTCACAGTCGGTAGGTGTGGTCTCCGGAGTCTAATGGGTTCATTGCAAGCGGGTTTAGGTGGTTTGATAGATGCGTGTGGTACTGTTCGCTGAATTTTATTATTTCTCCTTTTACGGGTAGACATTCTTAGGCCATGATTGATGATGTTGCTAGGTACGTGCCTTTCTGAATTAATATCTCTAAAGGATTTCGATGTTCGAGTTATTAACTGTTTCCCACAGTCGAATGCCACAAGTCCAAACAGATTTAATTCTGACTTCGTGGACTAGCGGTTTGTTTCTTCACTTTGTGCCAGCGTAAATTATTCCACGCTAAAAAGTTATTTAACGATGATACCAAAATGGTGGGATCTCCAGGTCAACTTCACCGAGTGTAATCCAACCGAATCGAAAACTAATTTTCCTATCTTCCAGCGATCTGGAATCTCCCGTCGATCGGGGACAATATTTCCGCCGGCACGCGTCAGGAGAAAGTACCAGAGGCGCAAGATTGTTACGTAACTAACCATAAACGATATTGTTAGGCCGGCTACTCGGTGGTCTACGCATCATTTTGCTCGCCAGTCTGCGACGGACGACCGTTGACATCGTTTCGATCGATCCTGGCTCGCGTCGAGTACGCGGCGAGGGTATCAAAGATGGAGGCGGTGCATTCGGTGAAGTACATCGAGACATTTCTCTTTCTCGCGATTCCGATCGGCCACGAAGCAGCCTACGATTCGCGATAGGTCGTACAAAATTAGTCGTCGTAAATCCACTCGATCAGGATTCGTTCCGCGTAAGAAACGCTCCGCTGGAAACAGCGGCAGAAGTTAATAAAGTTCTTTCGTTCGCTCCGAGGCAGGGCCGTGCCAAGGCACAAGGGCAAAAGGGGCACGCGACCCCGGGCGCCATGTTATGAGGGCGCAGACAGACAAGTTAAATATAATTATTCTATAGCTATTATTTTGAAAGTAATATTTCTTCTTGTATTTGTGCCCTCTTATAATTCAAAATTTAAGTCTCAAGTTTTCTAATTTTATTTTACTAGTTTACCATTTAATCATTATGGCGCCACTAACAGACATTAGACAGACGCCTCAGAAATTACTTTTTAAAACTATAAAATTCTTGCTAAAATATACAAACGTTTTGTTTTGTAAAAACACAAACGTTTGTATATTTTTTCGTGCTCCAGCGTGTTGCCTTGGACGTCAAAAGTACCTAGGCACGATTCTGCTTGGAGGAACTCCGAAGTGCTTGCAACCACACCCGGGGAAGAAGAAACCCCGCGAACTTTCGAAAACGATCGCGGGCGGCGCTCCTCGGACTTCGGCGCGCGTAAACGGCGATAAAACGCGCGGCGATGATATTTACGGCGCGGTTTTAGCTTCCGGTTTCCATTAATTACGCTGTCTAAGCTTCTTGAGTAGCCGCGGACGTAATAGTCGACCGATTGGCTTGGTTGCTTTTTGAACCGCCTCCGGTGCGGTCACTTTACTCCGCTTTCCTTTCTTTATCACTTTCTCCTCTTTTATAGAGTCACTCTCGGTCGACGCGCTCACGTGCACGCGCGATAAATATACGGGGTGTTTCATAACGCGTGGCGTCTAAGTAATTGACGATTTACGAGAAACGTAAAAGTAATGAAAGAAGTTCGTGTAAATTGTGCCGTTCCTAACCTTGAACCCGAGTTGGAGTCATTTTGGTTCTCGAGTTTAGCTGCTTACTCTTGTAGAAAGAGCTTGAAATTGCCACCTCTAACATCGTATGTCGAGTTCAGTTCGATATAGAATATTTTGATCTATTTTACCTTTACGTTATTATGGTTTCATTTGTATTATTTTAAATACTACTATATTTTTGTGTCTCTAGCTGAATAACTTAAAAAATTATAACGAGTTATAGTACGAAGTCGTTTGGCGTGAAATAAAGGAAGTGAGACAACGAGGCTTCCGTCATAAAAAGCACTTGAGGTAATCACTATATTGATGTATTATTGCTATCGTCGAATCATTCCGTTATGTGATAAAATCGACAAGGAAATGATAAGAAACTTACCAGCTTCAGTAGTTTGACGATTGCAGTATCACATCGTTGCTAACAGACACCGCTCCAAGTACCTTTTATGGCGTAAGAATCGATATTTAACTCTTCTTTTAAGTGTCAAATGACTTGGTATTACGAATTATTAAAAAATAGAAAACCCTCCAATGACAGAAAAATTATTATAGTTATGTTATGGCTTCCGTGACACGTTCAAACGTCTAGATGTGACTCTTTAAAGATGTGAGAAAATAAAATATGCGGTAGCATTAATAATATCATACATAGAACATGCAAAAGGAATTGTACAATTAGAATATAAACGTAAAGTTTATGACTTAGGGATGGTGGTGGTTAAGATTTCGATGAATTGATCTAATTCTTACTAAGGAAAATAATCGAATAATTAGCTGAATAGGTATAACGTGCCATAAACCTAGTCGACGAGGGTAGTACCGATTAGTCGCAACCCTAACAGGTTGTACCCTAGCAGGTACTCGGTTTCGCGTACCGTAAGCCACCCCTTAGTATTTGTAACGTTATTGATGCAAAGACCCAGGGGCCAAAGCACGCGATGGAAAATCCCCGGGGTTGCCAAACATGGTACCCACCACCTTAAACGTTAAAGTAAAATTGGCATCACTGCACCCCCGCCACGAAAAACCTCGGAGTAGAGAGTTCTGACCATATTGTTTCTTCTTATGCATGAGTATTGAGCTTTCTTACACTTCGTGAAGTATTTAGTTGCCGGTTGTTAGTCGTTCTGCAAGGGTGGTTCTTCGACCTTACTCAGCACATTAAATTCAAACGGATATTTTACAGTGATTGAAAATGAAAGACTAGCTTGTTTAAATGAGGTATAAATCTTGAAGTTTCGTGTGTTAAATAGAAGAAATTTATATTCTGTATTTCGCGTAATCTTAATTCAAAACGGTCCTGGTCCATACGCGCGTCAACGAACAATTAACGTGTGAAAGTTAAGATTTTTAAGCAACAAGGTTTCTTTAGAAAGTTTCATCAATCTGATGCTGCACTGTTCATAAATAATAGTTCAAACATCGGTGATAATTGCTCGTTTAATGAATAAATAAAAAATTGAGAGCATTCATTGGGAACATAACTACGCCTCTAGAAATTTCACTTTGAAAGTATAGTCTTCGACAGATTTTAATAATACCGAATTCTGGATTTGTTTCGAATCCTGAAACTCGTTATTATTAAAATTTAAACATTCTGGAGTTATAGTCCTATTTTCAATGAATTTTAATGTTTCTTTTAACTATTGCTTTAATCGTTGAATAATATTTTTTGTCTTTGCTCGATAAGTGACGACGAAAAGAACCTACAATTCATACTTCCGTTATTCTTTCGAGGACCGAAGAAGTGAGTTTTTCACGTATCACGGAGACATAGGACGCGTCCGCGACACTCACGATCCGTAAATCATTTCGAAGACGATCCCTCTTCCGCGAAACGTGTCGATCGATTCAAGATCGTGAGTCGTGCGAGTGATGCAATCCGTGTCGTCCGCGATCACGAATTGGCGGGAATATTTTTTTGTACGAACATCGCGAGGATCACGTCGAGAGGCTGGAGGGAAGATTTACCGACGATAATGGCTTGTTGCAGGCACGAAACGATACCTTCCGCGCCGGTCACTCCGCTGTCGAGCGACTCGAGCAGCCCTCTGTCCCCGACGTCGGCGTATTTCACCACGTCCGAGGGAAAAGCCAGGTTCCTGACCAGATACTCGCGAGACGTGACCGTCGAGGGTTTGGCGCGCCAGGAGGATGCTCCATCGGTCGTTCCTACGGACAGCCTCGATCTCAGGCAGAAAAAGGTACATACATACCGAAATGATCGAAGGATCGAAGAATCTTGGACATTATTTCATGTTAAATTGGACTTTGCTAAAATTGGTATACATTATAAAATATTTTAAATTGTTGACTTTATAACTGTTTGAGTAATAGAGTTAACATTTGTCGATAAACTGTAATGTTACGTTGAGCATAGAATCAGTAAGATTCTGAGAGCTTAGAGTATAGACATTGACATTCGATGAAAATTGTGAAAGATATCTCCTATATTTGGTTTATTCTATCAAGTTGTTAAGATGAATGGAGAAACTTTGGAGAAGGATAGAAACGTTACTGTTAGTGACCTGGATATCTCAAGTTGGAACCTAACTAGAGCTACTATCCCAATTACAGCAATCAAATGAAATGTTTCTACTCTAATGGTGACTCAAGAAATTCTGTTTGATCCTATATACGTAATTTCTCTCCGTCAGTTCAGAGTTCAGGACGGTCATTACGCTCGTCCGCCGCGAGGCCTTGTACCCGTAACGAGTCGGAATCTGCTTTTCATCTGCTTTACTTCTTCATATTTTCTATTAACCCCCCGTCGTAGCTCTACTTTTCACAGCCTACCACGATCCTCGTTTTCCACAGTCTCGTATATCTTTCCCTTTCGCGCAGAGTCATCGTGAATCTAATCAGTTAAGCTTTCAGAGTCTTCATTAACGGCACCATAATGTACCCTTCAATTAATCAAAACGTCTCTAACGCAGAAATTGGTATGACGATCGTTACATCAACCGGAGAGTAATGCTTTTTTAATTCTTTCGCAATCACGGTCGAAGCAATCGAGTCTTCCTTGACGCGGGGCCGTGAAATCGTACCTTATCGACTTCGTGCGAGCGCAATCGGAACTGCAACCGATTCTCTTCGCAGGAGGAGCTGATGACGAGGCTCGACAAGAAACTGGTAGTCCTCAGGGCCGAGCAAGAGGCCGTGCGAGAAGAGGGAGAGGTGAACGAAGCCCTGGGTGCACGAGTCGCCACGCGGATTTCCGCGGTCGCCCGAACGGCCGAAGCGTCCAAGTATCGGCTTCACGTGGAGGAAGTCGGCAAGATCACGAGTCTTCTTCTAGGTCTCAGCGGCAGACTGGCTCGAGCGGAGAACGCCCTCTACGGAATGCCAGCCGATCATGCGGAAAGAGTGAGTATCGGTATCAATTTCCTCCTCGTTTTCAACATTTTCATTCCAGCAATTCAGCCATTATTGTTAGTGAAATGGTTCGTTCGATTTTTTTACGAAGGCCATTTAAATTCTAGATCGTTAGAACATGTACGCACATTAGAACACGTTATGGAAGTTTTTTCTTTCGTACTTGCTATTTTTATTTTTTTGACATTACACGAATTGAGACAGTCCCTTCACCTTTCACTTCGCATAAATTCCTCGCAGCTTCTGTTGCCTTGGAGTCCTGTTTCCAATAGTAATTTCTGACTATTCTCCTTTCTAAACTTCTATCAATGCAACATTCTAGTGATTAATCAAAAGACTGTGAAACTGATACACTATCCCTACGAATAAACTAAATTTAATCGTTTAAAAATGTCTTGGAAAAATGAGACGAGAAACGAAGAAACTTACTGACTACCCTAGTAGTAGAAGATCTGATTTAATTTTGAGTAAAATTGTTTCATAGAAACGATAGTTACTTCTTGTAATTTTTGTAAAAATTCTAAAAAGGTTTTACAATATACTATTTTATTTTAAAGAGCATTTAATTTTACATAAACAGATCAAACATATTTTCTGTCTTTCCTTACAAAGAATAAAATTTAAATAATATTGTAAGTATTGCGAGATCTCTGCTCTAGATTTGTCTCGTCGATCATTATCAAACAATTAGTTAATCCCCTCATATCTCTTGTAACGGTCTTTCATAAGAATCTGTTATTAGCAATCATGATACAAAACGACCTCTCCGATCATTCGACACGAACAACGCACGCGAGTCAACGATTTTTCATTAAACCGCGGAATTTTAAACGATAATCGAGTGGTTGCACGATTAATTGAAAATTTACCCGGCGTCCTTGTATCCTCAACGTCCCCGTAATCCATACCGGCGTAAAATGATTTACGGTTGTCGAACAGGAAGGTCGAGAAGTACAGATATAATTATTTATCCGTCCAACGGAAAATCGCGTTGATTTATGAAAGAATTCTTGCGCAATACTGTTTCGCGGATAAGGAGTATAATCATTGTGGAAACCTTGAATGAGACGGGTCATCGTACGCTCGCAATACGAAACAATTCGCGATAAGAAAAATTAAATTCAAGCGATTGTTCGCGTCTGGTTGCCAACTCTTCTACTCGTATCTGGCCTACCATTTCCTACATTGAACATAATACATAACCACTTTTTTACTTTTTGACGTTACGTTGACCCACTATACACGTTATGCTTATCACTTTCATTATGAAATATAATATTTCATATAGGTATTACGTTAAAGCTCTGGTTTAATCATAACACATCTCTCTATAATTTGATCATTCGATACAAGAGCCCCTCGAACCCCTCGCGAGATACACTTTCCTCGTTGTTCGCAGAAAATCCTGGAAAGCAAGAGGGACAAGCTGATGGACCAGTTGGAGGAGGCGAAGATCCTGAAGGGGAACATCGACAAGCGGAGCGTGAATGTCTCTACGATCCTGTCGAAGTACCTGAACGCGGAGGAATTCGCCGACTATCAGCACTTCATCAACATGAAGGCGAAGCTGATCGTGGACGGGCGTGAGATCCAGGACAAGGTGAAACTCGGGGAGGAGCAGCTAGCCGCGCTGAGAGAAGCGATCGACTAGTCGTAATAATGAACCGATCGCACGAGAAACGCGTGGCCGCGTTCGTAACGCGCTCGAGCGGCGCGCGTTGAAGCAACCATCGCTTGGAATGCACGTATTTTTAAACGTCTCAACCATGAATCAACGATAGGATGGAGGCGGGCGTAACTCCATTTGTTCAATGGCGACTCGTCGAATTTCGTAAACGTATTTTACGCGTATCTTCGAATCGGTGAATGGAAAGTGATAAAACCTAATCGGTAGTTTGAAATTATTTTTGAACGCATGTTTCATTGTATATATAATATATGTATCCTTCGAGTCCTAGACGGACGAAGCGTCGTCGATCGTTCTTTCCTTGCGAACAAAATTGTAATTGTTTCCGGAATTTTTCATATGCGTAAAAACGTCACCGTTCGCGCGAGATTCACGATCTAGATGATCTCTCCTAGCGCCGTCCAGAGACAGCCTAGTCGTTGACGAGCTCGCGTCTATGGTCCGCGAACGAAAAGAGGATAAAAGTCATAAAAAGAAGATTCTTGCGTGCACGGGTGACCACGAACGAGACCGTTCGTAATTCGCGAAATTCGATGTACCCGTTCGATCCTTTACGCGACGCGTGCGAGCGTTGAAATCTCTGATCGGCGTGGAAATGTTTCGCGACACGTGTGTTCGGTGTTATCGGGTCGAATAAAAATTTTTACGCGTCCCAAGCGAGCCAGCCGTCTATCCGAAATTCGTACGTAGGTTTTCTCGACGATGAAACCGCTGTCGTTCCTGTTCGCTGCTGTAAAACAGAGACACAGTTGACCGCGGTCGTGCACAGCTTACGGATAGGTTTCGTTTTACCTGTGCGGCGCAATATTCGTTCGTGGCAGCGCGTGTCGCGGGGTTTCTTGACCTAGAATTACTTCTGGTGCCTTCTTATATACGATATGTGATATAAGGGTAAGGAGTCACGTGGTCGTGAGATATATCTGAACGATACAGGCAAACCGAGCGACGCGGTAACATGTATATAACGAAAGAAGAAGAGAAAGGTAGCTTTAAGAGGTGATACATTGTAGGAACCACGCATACACACCACGCATACATTCACATACACACGGACACAGTGACAAGAGGTGCGCGGACGCGCACGAGACACGCATCGTAAACCATTATACATGCTCACGTATACAACGATTACTATTTTTTACGTTTTGTTCTAACCCCAGGGGCTCTCGTGAGCCCCTATGACGCTTGTGATCTTACTTACTTCTGTACGACCGTACCAAGGACTCTCGAAAACGGATACGAAAAGTAGATCGAAAGGATTTCGAGACTCTATGGTGGTCTTACGAAAAATTTTATGCCTCGGTCGTTTTCGAAACTATCATTTCGTTGCTCCTATTTCCTCCACAATTTTCACCTTTGTTTCGCGAATGCATCCTGTCTTCTCCGTAACGATCGCGATCGATCTCGACCAGAGATGAGCAGGATATCGATATACAAATTTCAGTCGTTCACGCGTTGTTTTGTTCTGATAAAAGTTATAATCTGAATCCACGTGAAACGAACAAAAATTTATAAAGTGGGATTATTCGTTGTCTACCGTTTGACTAAAGTTTTTCTCATCTCTGATATCGAAGACCAGATCCAAGGGACGGAGAAGACGCTACGGACGAAATTCGAAGGGATGAATCCTCCGGTTTTTTGAGCTCGGTAATGAAATATTTACCAGTAGACTCAAAGATTCCGAGATGGAATCCGTCTTCTTAACCGTTCCAGCGAACGGTTCGCGGCGTGGTCGCGCGACTGGTTGCCAATTTTGGCAAAATTTGTAATAATCGTAATAGTAATTGAAGTATTCGAAACTTCGAGCGACGATGGAGTGGAAGTTAAAACACATCCTAGCTCTCGTTCGCAATTATTGTTACTATAGTTGGAATTAATGTCATGGATAGAAATCCGATTGAAAGGGTTTATAAATAATGTATCCATTTTGAAGTAATCGAATTTATCTATTTTGGAATGTTCCAAATTAATCAGCTGCAGACAGGAATAGAATTGTGTTTCTGATGAAATACCTAGGTTCGTGATTCTTTTGCTATCACGGTATTTAAGATCGATGAAATTTAACTACGAGACAATTCGTAAATGGCGCGAGAGCACGATCTGCCAGGCGAGCCGTGTCGCGAGGGACGGAGAGCAAAATTTGTAGCGCGCGTGAAAGACTGAGCAGAGGGCATAAAATTTTGCGGCACATTATAGTCAGTTTCTGTTCCTCGTTTGTTTCTCGATGTTCGCATGATATAACGGCGGCGGTACTGTAATCTCGCCGTCCGTCCTGTCAGAAATCTGCCACATTTTCGTAATCTGCTTGTAAGCAGCGTTACGCGTCGCGACTCATCGCGACAGACACGCGCGGAAAAAGAAATTGTATATAAAACGAGTTCTCATTCGCTGATAGAGGAAGAAAAAAAACCATGGTGCTCTGCATAATCTATTTTTTACGAGAAGAAACGTTCCATTAATGCGTAGGCTATTTACATATACTCTAAGGTCATTAATATTTAATAGTGCTCCACTGTGTACATACTCTCTACAGCATACAATTTAGTTTTTAACGTGATGCGAGGAGAACCCGTTTAAACAGTCCACACGCTGTACACGCGTTCATACGTATGACACACGTATACACACACACATACATACACGTACGTCACACATATACACACGTAAGCGACGACGCTAGGTCGTTGATAGTCTGACAATATTATCGCATATTTCGAATGTATTACGAAATCATTACGATAACTACCTTTCCCAAACTCGCTTGCAATAAATAACACGTTGGAAATTAAACGTGCACTTTTCTTTTGTAGTGGAACAAGAAGATCCCCGAAATTACTACATTTACGGTAAGTAACGCAGCACAATAATCTTAAATTAATGAGCAGGTGGTAAGAAAGTCTTATGCTGACACACCGAGCTTCTACTTCAGACTTTATCTACTTCAGAAAATAAGTTTTATTATTTTCACGATTAAAGCGCGTACTTTTTTGATAAAATATCAAGATAATTAACAGATATTACTAAAAATTTCAAGATTTATACGATAGTTCTTGTGCACTCTAAAATTAGCAACCATTATTTTGGTATAATCGTGTATTGCAGTAACGATGCTATAAATTGCTTTAAAGTTTTTTATTTAAAAAATGGATTTCGCTGAGTTGTTGTGAACATGAATTGAAAATTTTGATTATTGCGTCAATTTTATATCCAAGCAACGGCAGCACGCGACGTTATTGATCAAGGGCGTTCCAGTCAATCTACTTCTTCTACGGTTGGACCGTCAGATACACTTCCGGTCTGGGGACCACAACCTCCATCGTAGCTTCCGTACAATTTTGTTAAAATGGGATCGCAAACCTGACAAATTAAAAATCTATTTTACTTCCGAATCTATTAATATAAAAAAGTATTAAACAACATTTCCGTAGAACGTCAAACAAATTTATTAAAAATGAAAAACAATTTAAAAAAAAAATCAACACAGAATATGTGAATTTTTTTCTCGAAAGTGCGTAAAATCTCGGAGATATGTGTATTCACCAAAAATGATTCTAATTGACCCCCGGAACAAAAAATAATTTTTTTAGCCTACGGAAATGTTGTCTGGTACTTTTTTGTAGGTATCCATGATCTCTACTTCAGAAATAAAGTTCAATGGAATACATTCACTGTTGTAGAAGTTATGGTCGTTTGAAAATTGCGATTTTTACTACCTTATTATTATACAGATAGACGTTATATCCAATGTACTTTTTTAGAGCCCCATTACTATTCCAATGTCATTCGCAACATTACCAACAATAGGCTATAGAAAACGATCATAGCGCCTATTATGGTAGGAAATGAAATTACAGCCGCGATCGTGATTGATACCCGACTCTGATCCGCGTAGCTCGAGTCCTTTAAAAAACAAAGGCATGCCCGTAATTTCATTTCCTACCGTAATAAGCGCTATAATCGTTTCCTTTAGCCTGTTGGTAATGTTGCGAACGACACCGAAATAGTAATGGGGCTCTAAAAAAATGCATTGGGTATAACCACAGACGAGGTATACGAGTAAACCTTTCACCACAGACGAGGTATAGGAATAGACCTTTCACCTAATGTAATTTTTCGGCCGGAGTTTCTGGGGTCCCGGGACACCATTACCATTTTCGTGTCACTCGCAACGTTATCAACAGATTCAGAAATTAACACAGGAGGAAGTGAGACAGAAAATAAAATTACATAAATTTTATTATTTTTTAACGAAATTAAAGCTGTAGGGTCTATCATTGGACATTAATCGATTAATTTCATTGGAGTAATCAATCGATTAAGATTATTTAAAAATTTCAAGATTATTAAAATTCCTAAGGATGTATTTCATTGATACGTACACCGCAAATTCTCTATTTTTTATTTTAAATTGTAATACATCATTTATTAAAAAAATAACTCGGCAGAAACGTATTTGCGACTCGAAATCAGTTTAATCAGACTGTGCATCGGGGCCCCGGAAACTCCTCATTCCTCACTTTCACACGCTATGCCCAAATGCGTGTACGTGAGCTCGTTGAGTTTCGGAAGAGCCGAGAAGAACAGGCTGATACTCGCTTTCCTTCTCGCTCTTGCATCGCTGACGTCCCTTACATTTCTCGAAAGCAAGCTTGCTGGCATCACCACCCGTTCGAATCGTCAGTAAACGACAAAAGCCATCGTGACTGACAGACCTTACATTTCTCGAAATCGGACCTGGGCGCTATTTGAAGACTCATTGACTTTCCATACGAAGCGACCATGCGTTATACATATACATCTTATACATGCTAGGAACTATAAAGTTGTATAACATTCGTCGTATATCTACTTTCTAATAACATAGGAAAATTTTAAAATATAAAAATTTATTCAGTTGTTTAGACTCAATAGTATTAATAGTATAAATATATGAACGCACATCCATAAGCATAGTAAAGAAATGTCTTTTTTTTAATAGTTAAAATATGATCAAGGGGTCCTAAAACATGTATTTCCGTAAAAAAAATTTTTGAAATTTTTGTTTCATTATGGTATTTTGCATATACATTGTATACGCCTACATAGGTCGGAAAGTCAAAAATGCCTGGGCAGTCGAGAATCTCTGGGTCGTGCTTCCTGGGCCCTACTCTGAAAAGCAAACGCGAAAAAATAATCGCAACACTAAAAACAATAGCGATCTAATTCATGTCAATTCCAACTCGTAATGTTACTGCAAACCGAGATTAATGTTTACAGGTAACGCTACTCTGAAAGAAAACGCGAAAATATTCATTGTTCGCAACACTAAAAGTAATCGCGATAAGTTTGAATTATTCGCAACGCTACCATGAAATCAAACAGGATCGCTCGTATTTCGCAACACTAATGCAAACCGCGACTTGTCCAAAAACAGTGGCCGTTCTGGTACCAAGTACCATCTGAAAATCTACAATTACTACGACTACAAACGAATACAGTGACAAAGTAGTAACATAGAATGATTTTCCATCCTCATCCGAAGATGAAAATGAAAAACCATTTGTTGCAGCCCACTCTTGAGACAGTTTGTCAGGGCCTCTTCGACTCATCGAGTCTTTTCGTTCTTCGGCAGTCCTGCCGAAGCCTGAAACTTAAGCCTAGACTCGAGATTCCGTGCAATACACAGCCGGGTGTGGAGAAACTCGAGCGGGACGAGCGTTTCGAGAAACCTTCCGCGACAGAGAACGCGACCGCGAAGAGCGACTTTAGTCACGCGATTCGAAGAATCGAAAGTAAAACCAAAACAAACGATAGCATCAGTTTGGATCGGTTAACGTTTCAACTCTCCAAATCGAACTACAGGAACAGGTCTGCCACGGAAATAATATCTGTGATAGCCCTATAATCCTGACCCTACCTACTTAGGTCTAAACACACACACCAGAAAGTAAGCTACCTACCTACCTAATCCCATATTTAAAAAATAGCAAAACGCATTCTCGCAAACAAGCACTCCACGGTTCTCACACATAATGTCCGGGCGCGGCCTAAATTGGGGAGGAAGCCCCGGGGTTCCTCCGACACTCGGACATTGCAAACATTCACACTCTAAGGTACGTACCAATTTCCTGAAATCGGCTGACAAAGGCTAGTGCCTATTGCGTTTTAATTTTACATAGTCTGATAAAACTATTCGTTACGTCGTACATGTCCGTGAACTCTTCGACAGACATTTCTTACAGATCGTCGTTGGCACATAATTCGAGGGGTCTACAATTTCTTGTACCCATCTCGAGAAAATGTCGTAAAATTCTCAAGCAAATATTATTAATTATTCAAAAATTATTTGAAAGTAAGAAATAAAAATTTAATAATTTTATTTAATTTCGTAAAAATATATTATTACAAAATACAATTTCATTTTTGAAATATAGTAAATTTTTAAACGACGCAATTTCCACGTCCTAATCACACACACACACACACATGGGGAAAGTACGTCGTGCACAGTACGCGTTTTAATTTTACATTGTCTGATAAAAGATATTTTACCCGTGTACCCATATGCTGTCTTTACGTCGTACGTGTCCGTGTGCTCTTCGACAGACATACCTTGGAGATCGTCATCGGCACATAATTCGAGGGGTCTACAATTTCTTGTACCCATCTCGAGAAAATGTCAAGTCGTTGAAAAAATCCCCAAGCTAATAATATTAGCCATTTTATAATTATTCGAAAAATAAGAAATAATATGTCGTCCGTGTGCTCTTCGATAGACAATCCTTACAGGTCGTCGTCGGCACATAATTCGAGGGGTCTACAATTTCTTGTACCCATCTCGAGAAAATGTCGTCAAGTCGTAAAAAGCTCAAGAAAATATTATTAATTACTCAAAAATTATTCGGAAAATAAGAAATAAAAGTTTAATAATTTGATTTGATTTGATAAAAATATATTATTACGAAATACAATTTCATTTTTGAAGTATAATAAATTTTTAAACGACGCAATTTCCACGTCCTAACCACACACACACACACACACACATGGGGAAAGTACGTCGTTCTCAGTACGCGTTTTAATCATACATTGATAAAAGATATTTTACCCGTGTACCCATATGCTGTCTTTATGTCGTACGTGTCCGTGTGCTCTTCGACAGACATACCTTGGAGATCGTCATCGGCACATAATTCGAGGGGTCTACAATTTCTTGTACCCATCTCGAGAAAATGTCAAGTCGTTGAAAAAATCCCCAAGCTAATAATATTAGCCATTTTATAATTATTCGAAAAATAAGAAATAATATGTCGTCCGTGTGCTCTTCGATAGACAATCCTTACAGGTCGTCGTCGGCACATAATTCGAGGGGTCTACAATTTCTTGTACCCATCTCGAGAAAATGTCGTCAAGTCGTAAAAAGCTCAAGCCAATATTATTAATTACTCAAAAATTATTTGGAGAATAACAAATAAAAGTTTAATAATTTTATTTGATTTGATAAAAATATATTATTACGAAATACAATTTCATTTTTGAAGTATTACAAATTTTTAAACGACGCAATTTCCACATCCTCACCACACACACACACACATGGGGAAAGTACGTCGTGCACAGTACGCGTTTTAATTTTACATTGTCTGACAAAAGATATTTTATATGTATCCCAAACTAATATTATTAATTATTGAAGAATCATTTGAAAAATAAAAAATAGAGGTTTAATAATTTTATTTGATTTAATTAAAATATATTATTACGAAATGCAATTTCATTTTTAAGGTATAATAA